TATGAAAAAAAAAGAATGCATTTTCAAAATCTTCAAGACAGACATAGGCTTTGCATTTTTAACATAACTTTGTTTGCATATGACTTTTGTTTGAACAGCATAGAAATTCGCACGACGAATTCCTAATGAACAGAAGTATTTCCAATCAAGGGGCATGGCATGATCATGGTCCGTTATCCGGGGCAGTCCAATCAAGATTCAGAGAATCTCTCAAAAGGCTAAATAGCCTGGGGCAAGTCTCCGCCTGAGTCACTTGGGGCATTCCAACAACGAATCTTGCCTGATCAAACACCTTCTGGTGGCGTGGCAAAATACTTCCAACAGGGGCAACTCCCTACATTCCCTGAACGTGGACATAGTCGAAAAAATACTACGCATAATCAAAGACCCGCTAGGTTGACATACCTAGGCAAAAATTGGGGCTTCCCGGCGAACCAAAAGGGTTCGGGCAAAATGAAGGGATGAAATGAAAAAAATCTGTACACCCGGCAAGTCGAAAACCTGAAAAGGCGGCTTGGGAAAAAATGGGTATCCCGGTGGACTGAAAACCCGAAAGGGCGGTCCAGGCAAAAGTTAGGGATCAAAGCGTACGACTATGTCCTGTCATCTTGTCACTTGCCTACCCGAAGAAGGTTTGACCCTCAACAATTATCAGTAGCCCACAGGTGCCTCCCCTATAGAAACAGGGGCAATAATGGGTAGTCTGAGCAATCTGTTTGTTCTGTCCTCCAAGGTATCAAAGTAGGTTCCATTGAAGAACATAACCAATACAGTTCAATACTTCCCCAGGAGAGTCTAATCCAGTTTCCCCAAGAAGGTTGGAATCCATCTCTCCAAGCAGTAAGCTTATCCCCAGTAGATTCTGGAAGCTTATCCTCGCAGAGCACGAACGCGTTCCCCGGCTTTATTCAAAGAGTTATTTCCTTACCAGGATATAACTGGGTTATCCTCAGCCGAAAGCCACGGAAAGAGCATCCTCGACGAAGCCTTCCTACCCCCAGCGAAGTCTATTAACACTTCCAACACAACAAGGGTATCCCCAACAAGTTACTATCAACAACTCAACAAAGTATCTCTCCCCCCACAGAGTATTGCTTCCCAGCAAGATTGTTAGAGTACTTTTCTCCCCACAGAGTATTGCTCCCCAGCAAGATTACTAGAGTACTTTTCTCCCCGCAGAGTAATCCATTCGCCAAGTTTATTCCCCGACGGAGTTATCTTCTCCCACCGGTATTCTTGCAACTATCACCCCTAGCGGAAGCAAAGATCTATTCTCCAATATCAGCCCAGGAGTGACTTCCCGGCACCCGTCAAGGATTTATTTTCCTAAGACGAAAAAAAAAATATACATTCATAAACATCGCACTTCCATACATCATTATAGCATGCATAGACGCATCATATCTTACAAATCTCATTTATGTTGAGAACATCATTGCTTGATCCATATCATGCATTGCATATGACTGACCTTTACCTTTCAGGAAAGATTCAGTTAAATTCTCAATCATATTTCAAGACCTAGACCGGTTCAGTTAAATCGACTCCAAAGATTTCTTATCCAGTCAAAGGCCTTCTCTGGTCCAGTTAAATCGACCCCAAACAGATTTTTCTGATAAAAACCCAGTTGAAGACATTCCAAGACCTAGACCGGTTCAGTTAATCGACTCCAAAGATTTCTTATCCAGTCAAAGGCCTTCTCTGGTCCAGTTAAATCGACCCCAAACAGATTTTTCTGATAAAAACCCAGTTGAAGACATTCCAAGACCTAGACCAGTTCAGTTAATCGACCCCAAGATTCTCTGTTTCTTATCCAGTCCAAGGCCTTCTCTAGTCTAGTTAAATTGACCCCAAAGAGATTTTTCTGATAAAGACTCAGTAGAAGTTATCCAAGATTCTCTCAATATTTGCTATTGAGGTTGTAGTCGCCTATGGTTCTCTCCCCGATCCTGCGGAGGTGGTAATCCCAGATTTCGCTCAACGATTGCTGTTGAAGTTGAAGTTATTCAAGATTCTCTCAATATTTGCTATTGAGGTTGTAGTCGCCTATGGTTCTCTCCCCTATCCTGCGGAGGTGGTAATCCCAGATTTCGCTCAACGATTGCTGTTGAAGTTGAAGTTATTCAAGATTCTCTCAATATTTGCTATTGAGGTTGTAGTCGCCTATGGTTCTCTCCCCGATCCTGCGGAGGTGGTAATCCCAGATTTCGCTCAACGATTGCTATTGAAGTTGAAGTTATTCAAGATTCTCTCAATATTTACTATTGAGGTTGTAGTCGCCTATGGTTCTCTCCCCGATCCTGCGGAGGTGGTAATCCCGGATTTCGCTCAACGATTGCTGTTGAAGTTGAAGTTATCCAAGATTCTCTCAATATTTGCTATTGAGGTTGTAGTCGCCTATGGTTCTCTCCCCGATCCTGCGGAGGTGGTAATCCCAGATTTCGCTCAACGATTGCTGTTGAAGTTGAAGTTATTCAAGATTCTCTCAATGTTTGCTGTTGAGGTTGTAATCGCCCAAGGTTCTCTCACCGTTCCTGTTGAGGTAGTAACCATCCCTGGTTCATTCATCACCATTTGAAGCTCCAGATACATCTCCTGTAACCAGTCAGGACACATCTATACAAAGAATTTGAAGACCAGCTCCTGTAACGGGTAAGGTAATCATTTTTTCTTTTGCAGGTATGCAAGCTCCCGCTAAGGAAGCTCTTACGCGATCAACATCCAGATGGCATCTATAATCCCATCCACCTTCCATCATCTCTTAGCATGGCATCTATAAGCCCATCATCCTATCCATCAATCTCTAAATGGCATCTATAAGCCCATTCCCACCATCATACTACTATGTGAGCGCAAATTTCTGGGCACTCTAGTGTTCAATCATCTTCCACCCTCGGATTACGAAAGGCACGTCAGCCAATCTGCATCCTCAGGTCTAAGAAGATTGAACAGGGGCAACTGTTGTACCCCAAAATTTGCCCTCCCATATTCTTCAAGATTTGTCAAAAGCATGCTTCAAAATTCCCCAAGGGTTGCACAGTTCAAGGGCCTCCTAACAGTCAAAATTAGGGTTTTGGTTCTGACAAAGAAAATGAAGTTTCCAAGGGTCCAATCAAGTCCCACATGCCTATAAACATGGTCAAGCATCCTCATACCAAGTTTCAAGACTTACAGCTCAAAATTGCACAGTCAAAAACCCTAATTGCACTACAGTCAACTGTAGGGGCAAAATGGTCATTTGACAGTCAAAAGTTCAAATTTTTGGTCAACATCTTATTTTGAAGCCACAAACATCATTTTATCAATGCTTGATCATGATTCTCAAAGCTTGGCTCAAAAAGTCTCAAGATGCAAAAGTTTCCTTATTTGGACAGCTGAAAAAGTCAACTGTAAATTGACCAGGGCATAACTTCCACATGGATTATCATAAAAATTCCATCCAAAGCTCATTTTGAAGAGAAAGACATTTCCTACAACTCCTCTTCACACTTCAAGTCCAAAAAATGCTCTCACAAAAAGTTACCAATTTCAACATTATAGGTCATTTTCAAAAGTCAACAAAAAGGGACTTTAAGTCAAAGGACATAACTTGAGATTGGTAAATCAAAATGACATGGGACCAAAGACATTGGTTAGAGGACTCAAAGACCTTTCCAAAATGTCCAAGAACATGAGCAAAGCTTAAAAATTGAGCAAGTTATGCCTTGTGGAAGTTGGGAAATTTTTGGATATTTTGAAAAGTCAACATTGCTTCAAATGACCTAAAATTGCTAATGGGCCTCTTTTTCTTCCATAATTCATCATCCAAGGCATGTGCACGACCATTTGGCCCAAAGGGAAGTTTTTATCATTTTTTATTTATTTATTTGGATTTTTTATTATTAATAATTCATTTAATTAAATAAAATACATGAAAAATACTAAACCTAATCTTTTGAATCTTTTTGTGCATAAAATAATCTCAATATTTCGTGTACAATCAAATATGGAAGGAATTAGGGTGATTGGATGTGATTGAAGCCAAAAAGCATGAAAAAAGATTTAGAAAATTATGGCTTGAAAATCAAATATTGCATAATCAATTCAAGGATTCTTTGATCAATTTTTTCAACCCTAATCATTCACAGGTACATATACAAGCTAACCCTATTCAGAAAAGACGAAAAAGCTGCGCCATACATAGAAAACCATACTTGAGTTTTTGGCTTAAAAATTGAAAACTGAAATCGTGATTCCCAAGCATTTCAAGGCAAAATAATCAGTCCATTGCCTTCCTAAGACGTCAGGGAAACCTCCTGGATAATTCTCCAACCCTCTAACACCTTGAATCGGTATACAGAGATCAAACTTTTTCATATTTTTCTTATAATCGTATTTCAAATTCCCAGCATTCTCATTGCATTTTATTCATGGATTTGTACTAATGAGACCTTTCTGAAGCTAACAATATGGTTTGATTGAAGTTTTGGGCATCATACGCGAATCTACCATTGTTGTTTTTTAGGGTTCTTCAACTTTCAAATTAGGGTTTTTTGAATACAGTAAAATTGGAACGTCACAATGCCATAAACGAAACCAGCGTGCTTGGACGAAAAGAATAGGACCCTCGCGCCTAATTTATGTGGTCGGACGGCCTAATCGCTATTTTTTATAATGGTGTCTAAGGGAACGGTTCAAAACCGTTGCCCATTCTTTTTGTGTTTCAGGAAAAAAACAAGCTAAGGAAGAAGAAGGGTACGTGGCTAGCGCTGATGGGTCCATTCAAAATTTCGCGCGGAAAAAAGAGCATCAACGTTGTTTATTTTATTATGTTTATTGATTGCATAATGTACAAAGAAGTAAAGCAGCTCCACTGGCAGGCATAAGCATTGGTAAACCACAGGACCTGGGTTCGAGCCCCAGGTCCCTCACCCTTTCCATGATTTTTTTCTATTAACGCTTCTATGCAGTTTCAACGCTGGAGACCACCATACGTCCACAATTCCCAGCTTGCCACGCGTATGCCAAGATCAATCAGAGGGCCACAGTTTGAGGAACATCATGGACGTGAGTCAAAAGCGCTACACGCTGGCATGGAAGTCAACGAGGCCAAAGATGCTTGGGCCCAAATCACTACAACCAACCCTCCACTTGAGGACAGCACCCTCTCTAGTTTGTTTCTTTTACTTTTTTTTTATATTTTTCTTTTCTTTATTTTAATTAATTTCTTTTAATTCTTTATAATTATTATTTTCATAATATATAAAAACACAAAAAATCAGAAAAGATAAAAAAGTAAATATTTTTATTTAACTAGTATTTTTGTAAATAAATAACCTTAATTGATTTTAGTTTTAAACTTAGGGTTAAATTTTAATATTTTTCTTAATCAATTTAAAATTTGGTAGAATTAGGGTTTGTAATAATTTTTATCCTTTTTCTTTTCTTTTCACAATAATTAATTATTAAATATTATTTTTGTAATTAAGTTGCATGTAAATAATTAGATTAAGTTTAGGTTAAAATTTAATACTTTCTTAATAAACTAAAAAAAAAAACAATTAGAATTAGGGTTAGTATTTTAATTTCAATTAATCTCATTAAATTCTCATAAATACAAAAAAAAACCAAAAATAATTTCTTTTTCTTTAATTTGATTAATAATAATTTAATTTCGTTAAAAAAGGGTCCAACGCCCTCGTTTCTAATTTTAATTCAATTCGCATATGTATTTCTTTTTCTTTTAATTATTCATGTACCTCTCCCAAAGCCGTGTAATTTTAATCTTTCGCACTTTACTTTAATTACTTATTTTCTGTCAAATCGGGTCCTGGAAATTTTGGCGATATGGACCCGCGCCTTTTGTAATAGTTTAGAACTTTACCCTTTCTCGCACTTTTTAACTGTTAAATAATGGCATGCAAGAATGAATGGACAAAAATAAAAACAAACGCGTAGCTCACTCATAACATGACAAGACAAAAATAAATGAATCTGACACACAAACCACACACCACCCCTAGGGTACGCCTCACTGTTGCCTTGCCTCGAAAGGTGATCGTCGAGTAGAGGATGTCTTAGTAAGTCCTCATGATCCGGGAACCTGGCATGAGGGTAGCTTCTAAGGTGTCTTCCCATTGCTCTGGTGATCACCATGTCCTGAACCTTGAATTGACCCGAACACCTCCAACGGTGGTGCTACCTACCTCTCAATGGTGGGATGGCACTACTTTAAAGGGCATCTACACAGACGAATTCCTTAGGGTAGGTAGATGACTCTAGATACTTGCTCTAATTTCAAAAACAAATCAAAAATACTTTTCACACCAACACATTTTCAAAAAGCTTTCGAAAGTAATTTTTCAAACACTCTTGAGGACTGATACAAGAGTCGAACTGGAATTTTCAAAGAAACTTTTTAAAACCCACATTGAAAAGCAAACAAACCATTTTTGAAAACACAATGAGCAAGTATCTAAGAGCCCATGGATAACCATGGATAGAAAGGGTGCTAACACCTTCCCTTTCTATAATCTACCTCCCGAACCGAGAGCAATCTCTTTAAGGAATTTTTCTGTGCTTTTGTCCTTTCCATTTGGAGAAAATAAAAGACGGTGGCGACTCTTGCTTCCGCGACATTTCGCGAACCAGCGTTAAACAGTCAGTTCCAGATCCACCGATCACACTATGTATGAAAATACATATGGAATAGTAGTTCAATCAGTTTTCTTCCAAATTTTAATTGTCTTTCATTGAGGATTCGATTTTCACTGACATTGAATTTTGTTTCTTCTTGGTTTTCTACTTTGTTATGTTAGCCATATGACATTTTTTTCTTTGATTTTCTACCGACTACATATGTCCAGGTAGAAACTTGGAAAATAGGCTGAATGCGCCTAGTTCTTTGGAAGAAACTCAGGAAACTCCAGTGAAAACGAAGAAACTTTTTGTGACAGGTATGCTATGCTTGCAAAATTCATTCTAAGGTACTATAGACCGTGTTTCAACTTTTTATCTCATGTTCATGTGGCTATTTCACTAAAATCGTGTTTGAATCACTTTGTCAATAGAAACATAAATTATTATTTAGGCGAGCATTTTTTTTATTGCATGGGATGATACAGTACTATTTGAGAATTGAGAATAACTTGTCTTTTGAACAGGGCTATCATTTTACACATATGAGAAAACCTTACGTGCTTCATTTGAAGGCTTTGGTGAGCTTGTTGAAGGTGATTTCAATATTTACTATCTGAAGTAAGAACTAAAATTTTGTCTCCGCTTTTTCTAATAAATAAATGATTATGTTTGACAGTTAAAGTCATCATAGATAAAATTTCAAAAAGGTCCAAGGGTTATGCATTTATTGAATATGCCACAGAAGAGGCTGCAAGTGCAACACTCAAAGAGATGAACGACAAGGTAGATCCATCTTTCTTTCTTGCATGAAAAATGCAACTTTGTTTTAAGTTGGTTCTGCTTCGGCATGCTCATGGAGAAAGCAAAATAATAAGGGTTTATAACTGAACAAAAAGAAGTTTGGTAGTGTATAACAATTTTATTCTGAGTGTAGATTATTAATGGCTGGATGATAGTGGTGATGTTGCTAAGACTACCCCGCCAAGATACAACAAAGGTCGCGCCAGACCATCTGCATGATAAGAAAACAAAGTCTGTAAGGTATTTGCTTAATACTTACCAGCTCTACCGAAACGAACTCCATTCTATTAGATATTTATGTTTCTATAGTCTTACTTTGGTAATCATGTCAACCTCTTGGTGTCAGGGAAAGACAACAATGCAGGCAGGTATGTTACGCTGCCATAATATTCTCAGGAGAAGTTTCCGGTAGTTATTACTACATATGCTCCAGGGAAGCGAACATATTTGCCAGATTTTCTACTGGTTGTGTGAGATTAAGCATGCTGCAATGGACAGACTAACGATATTGTAGCCTCCATTGGCATGGCAACTGGCCTTATGTTAAGGTACTGAAAAGATGAGAGAAGTTTGGGGTCTGGATGCTTATTGTTATGCCTTTGGACATTAGAGAAATCAGTTAAAATTTTAACACAATTTTGGTTGAGATATGTGTTTCAAGAAAATAAAACTTAGGAAACATAAAGCTATTTGGTCTAAATTTCCATATTCTCTTTGCTTAATTATTATGTATGCTCAAATAGGAATTTTGATGCTTATTTCTCTTCGTTTTCTTTGGTGTTATGTGTTGGAAATCCACCAAATTCTATGATGAATTTCTACCACAATGACAATTTAATTATGAGACAAACAAAGAAAAGAAGACAAGATAAATAATTTCTGCAGAGTTTCTCTCTGCTCACAAACTGTGAAAACTTTCTTATTCACTTTGCAACTGCAAAATACTGTGAATGACTTTCTTGACTTGCTTACAAAAATAGGGGTTACTCCCTCTATTTATAACTGAGCTTACACCCTAAGCCCAAAGCCCAAAAATATCTTTTTGTTACTAAATCAAATCTAATCTATTTTAGACTTAAATCAAATCTATTTAAATCTAAAACAAAACAAATCTTTTCGTCACATAGTTTCGACACACTGAATTACAATTTAACACACCACCTAGTTCATTGTGTCTAAACTATCTATGTTCATCATGACTATTAGTCTTCTGAATACTTCGACTTGCACTCCCTTCGTCATGATGTCTGCAATCTGATTCTCAGTTCTGTAGTGTTCCAAATTCATCTTCCCATCTGCTACCTGCTCTCGAAAATAATGGAACCTCATTTCGATGTGCTTACTTCAACCATGTGCTATTGGGTTCTTCGCCAGATTAATAGCTGACATGCTGTCTATCTTCATGGTAATTGGTCCATGATTTTTCCCTGTTATCTCTTCGATCAAGTTCACCATCCAAGTTGCTTGACATGCACAAAGAGAAGCAGCTATGTATTCTGCTTCGCATGATGATAATGCCACTATTGGTTCCTTTCTTAAATTCCAAGCAACTGGTGCACCACCTAGCATAAACACATATCCTGCTGTTGACTTTCGATCTTCAGCATCACTACACCAACTCGAATAAGTGTACCCCACTAACTTGCATTCTTTTCCTTTATCAACTGCAGGAAACAAAATGCCATAATCGAAAGTTCCTTTGAGATACCTTAGTATCATCTTTACTGCTGCTAGATGTGATACCTTTGACTTCTGCATGAATCTACTTACCATACCTACACTATATGCTAAGTCAGGCCTTGTATGACAAAGGTATCTCAATGATCCAATAAGTCTTCTATATTGGGTTGGATCAACATCATCTTCATCTGCATCTTTCGACAGTTGCAGTCTTGGTTCTGCAGGTTTCGAAGTTGAGTTGAATTCTTCCATCTCAAACCTCTTGAGAATTTCTCCTGTATATCTTCTTTGATGCATCATCAAACCTCTAATGCTCTTGTAGAATTCGATACCAAGGAAATATGAAATCTCACCCAAATCAGACATTTCGAATTCTTTGCTGAGATCACCTTTGAAGTCTTCGATCTCACTTTTGCAGCTATCTGTTATCAACAAATCATCTACATAGAGACATAGTATAAGCAATTTACTCTTGCTTCTTCTTACATATACTCCATGTTCAGTTGTGCACTTCACAAATTCCTTCTCCCTTAGAGAACTATCAATTTTCTTATTCCAAGCCCTTGGAGCTTGTTTCAATCCATACATGGCTTTATGTAGCCTGTACACCTTTCTTTCTTCGTCATGTTTCACAAACCCAACTGGTTGTTTAACATAGACATCTTCATCTAAGGGTCCATTTAGGAATGCACACTTCACGTCCATCTGACATATGTGCCAACTGTTTATTTATGCTAGACCAACAACCAACCTGATTGTTTTGATCCTAGCAACAGGTGCAAAAACTTCATCAAAGTCTATTCCTTCTTTCTATAGAAATCCTTTTGCCACAAGTCTTGCTTTGTGCCGAGTTACTTCATCTTTCGAATTTGTTTTCACTTTGTATACCCACTTGACATCAATTTTCTTCTTGTCTTGAGGCAATTCTACAAGTGACCAAGTGTTGTTGTCTTCGATAGACTTTACTTCTTCGTTCATTGCTTTCACCCACTTCGAATCCTTTAATGCTTCAGCTGCATTAATAGGTTCGACATCTGCATAGAAAGCATAATGTACCAGATCACCTTCATTATCTATTACATCATCTGATGTAATCACACAATCTTGCAATCTTGCAGGCATGCGTCTTGTTCTTTGAGGCCTGCTTGTACTTGGTATATTTGATGGTTCCTCTTGTCGAACTTCTCTTTAGACTTGAGTTTATGGCTCTTCAAGAAGGATTCCCACTGAATCTTTCTTGACATTAACAGTCCAATCCCATTCTTTAAACTCATCTATGATCACGTCCCTGCTGATCACAATCTGCTTTTTCACTGGATCGAACAACTTGTAGCCTCTTGTCGAATGATATCCAACTAGAATCATTTGACTTGACTTATCATCAAGTTTTCTTCTCAACTGATCTGGCACATGTCTATGTGCAATAGATCCAAATACCTTCAGATGACTCAAGCTAGGCTTCACACCAGACCAACATTCTTCTGGAGTAATTCCTTCTAGCTTCTTTGTAGGACATCTGTTCAAAATGTATGTTGCAGTCGAAACAGCTTCACCCTAAAACTCTTTAGGTAAATTCTTTCCTTTCAACATACTTCTCACCATATTCATGATGGTTCGATTTTTCCTTTCTGCAATTCCATTTTGTTGTGGAGTATAGGGTGGAACCACCTCATGTATAATCCCTTCCTTTTCACATAATCTGTCGAAGTCTTTCGACACATATTCTCCACCACCATCAGTTCTCAAAACTTTGAGCTTTCAACCACTTTGTCTTTCGAGCATAGACTTAAACTTGGTAAATACTTCGATCACTTCACTTTTCTTCTTGATCAGGTAAGTCCATAGCTTTCGACTGAAATCATCTATGAATGTAACAAAGTATTTGTTACCTCCCATCGAATCCACCTGGATTGGTCCACATACATCAGAGTATATGACTTCAAGACTAGCCTTCGATCTGCTTTCTGCATCTTTGCTGAAGCTATTCTTGTGTTGCTTCACCTGCACACATTCCTCACATACCTCGTTTGGAATGTCAATTTCTTGCAATCCTGAAACCATATTTCTTCTCTTCAAATCTCTGACGTCTCTGAAGTTGAGATGACCTAGTCTATAATGCCATATCCATTCATCTCTGCTAGCTGTAGTCGAAAGGCACTTGTGCTCCATCACATTTAGTTCAATCTTGAAGGTTCGATTCTGAGACATAGGAGCCTTCAAGATTAATCTCCCATTTGCATCAACGACTCTCATCATCTTATCTTCAATTGACACTTTATAATTCTTTTCGACCAACTACCCTATACTGAGCAAATTTCTCTTCATGCCTGGTATGTACAATACATTGGAAATTACTGACCTCTTGCCATCTTTCCTCATAATCATAACATCACCAATACCTTCAGCTGCTAGGGTATTGTCATTTGCAAATTTTACCATATTTTTCATTGAGGGTTTTATATTGACAAACCAGTCTTTCCTTCTAGACATATGTGATGAACATCCTGAATACAAGTACCATTGGTCCTTGAATCTATCTTCATCTCTTGTTGTGACCATCAGCATCATCTCTTCTTCTTCTTCTTCTTCTTCTTCATATTTTGCAAGCTTTGCATCACTTTCTCGATTCTTTCATTTTTTTGGACAATCACTCGAATAGTGACCATACTTCTGACAATTATAACATTGAATGTGACTCTTATCAGGTTTTTGACCACAACCTCTTCCTCTATTTGCAACACACCTCTTTGGTTGCCTTGGTATGGTCTTCTTTGATTCGACACGTTTCCTTCAATCTGGTTTCCTCTACCATTCGATTTGTTGTATCCACCTCTACCTCTGTCGAAACATTTTCCTTTGCATTTGGTCTCTTTTGCTAAATGTGCCTGTAAGGCCACATCACTCTTCGATTTTCCTGCAGCTCTTTCGTTCATTCTTTGTTCACGAGATTCAAGCGTCCCTTGAAGCTCTTCCTTTGTCAATTTCGACAAGTCTTTCCCCTCTTCTATCGCCACCACTATGTGGTCAAACTTAGGAGCTAAAGATCTCAAGATCTTCTACACAACAACTCTTGTTGTTAACGCTTCTCCACATATCTTGATTTGATTTACTAGTTTTGTAACTCTAGTGAAGAAATCAGATATGCTTTCACTGTCTTCCATCTGAAGCAGTTCATAGGTCCTTTTGTGAGTTTGTAACCTCACTTCTTTCACTTTCTCAGCGCCTCCAAAAGACTTCTCAAGGATTTCCCAAGCTTCTTTTGCAGATTCTGAATCATTAACCTTTTCGAAATTGTCTGGCCTGACACATTGATGAATTATAAATAATGCTTTATAACTCAACTTCTCAGATTCTATGTATTTCTTCTTTTCTTCTTCTGAAGTGTTTTCTCCAAGCGCTTCGACTCCATCTTTTAGAAGGTCCCAAAGACCTTGACACCTGAATAAGACTTTCATCTGTTTGCACCAATTCTCATAGTTGTCAACTTTCAGAATTGGTAGGGTTGCTGGATAATTTGCATTCCCGTAACTTGTCATCGTGAATTCTTCAATCGTTCTTGATTGACACTTCCCTTGAATCGAAACAAAGCTCTTGATACTAGATGTTGGAAATCCACCAAATTCTATGATGAATTTCTACCACAATGACAATTTAATTATGAGACAAACAAAGAAAAGAAGACAAGACAAATAATTTTTGCAGAGTTTCTCTCTGCTCACAAACTGTGAAAACTTTCTTATTCACTTTGCAACTGAAAAATACTGTGAATGACTTTCTTTACTTGCTTACAAAAATAGGGGTTACTCCCTCTATTTATAACTGA